CTTATAAATTTGAAAAAGTTCTCTATATATTTGAGATAGGAAACCTTTATCCAAGAAACGGTCTATAAAACTTTTCCCCTAACTTTCTGCTTTCCTTCTAATCCTGGCTACATTGGTTTTGTTTGTACAAAATTTTTTTCAATTTAATGTAATCAAAATTATCTATTTTACATCTTACAATAATATATTCTTTTACTCATAATTCTTCTATTTCCAAATCTGACAGGTAATATGTTCTATGTTCTTCTAATTTACTCATGCTATCTCCTTTTATGTCTACTTGGAAGGTATTTTAGCATAAAAGAATGTTATACTTTGTTAATTTTTTAATCTGTTGAGATTATCATGTGTTTTGGAATGTTTGGTTTTTTAATATGATTAGTTATATTGTTTGTTTTCCTAATGTTGAACCATCCTTGCATCCCTGGTATAAATCCCACTTGATCATGACAAATGATTTCTTTATTAAATCTCTGTAGCTCATTTGATATAATTTTGTTTAAAATTTTGCAGTCAATGTTCATTAATGATATTGGCTGTAGTTTTCTTTCTGTGTCTTATTTTCACCTTTAGGTATTAGAGCTATATTTTTCTCATAAAAAGATTCAAGGTAGAATTCTTTCTTTCTCAATTTTTGAGAATAATTTGTAAAGTAGGGGTACTGACTTTTTAAAAAGTTTGATAAAAATTTCCTGTGAATCCATCAGGTACAGAACCTATTTTTCTTTGGTAGTTCTTTTGCAGCTATGTTGATTTACTATTCTGAGACTGGGTTATTTAAGCTCTCTATCTGGTATTCTGATAATTTGGAAATTCTATATTTTTGAAGATATTCCTCTATTTTTTGTTTTCAGGTTTTTGTATGTTTTAACTGTGCATGATGTGTTGTGATTATTCTTTTTCTTTCTTCTGGTTTTGTTGTGATTTGTTGCTCATTTTCTATTTTGTTGATCTAATTTTCTTCTCTCTTTTAAATCAGATTAGCTAAGGGCTTTTCAATTTTATTAGTTACTTCCAAGAACAAGCTTTTTGTTTTATTTTTCATTTCTAACTTATCTATTTCCCCTCTAGTTTTTAAAATATCTTTGTGCTTATTTTAGGTTTGTTTATTTGTGGATTCTTTAATTTTTAATGCATTTTAAGTTAATTAGTCTTCTCTTTGTCTATTTTATTAATGTATAATTGTAAGGATATGATTTTACCCTTGAGGATGCTTTAGTTGCATCCCAGAAATTTTGGACTGTTATTTCATCATTATTTTCTTTTACACAGTTATCGAGTTTTTTCTGTGATTTGTTCTTTGACCCACTCATTATTTAATATTTTATTGTTAAGTCTCCATTTAGGTCTGTATGTTTTCTTTGTAGGCCTTGAACCAATTTTTATTGTTATTGCATTATGGTTTGTAAAGGAAGTATTTACTCTTTCTGCCTTTTTTCATTTGTTTGTAATACTTCTGTACCCTAGTACATTCATTTTTTGGTGAAAGTTTCATGTAGTGCTGTGTGTATTCTTTTACTGTCCCATTTAGAAGATGCCATAACTCTAGTTTCTAACTCTAGTTTCTCTGAAAATTTGTTCAGTTACATATATTTATTTTTGTTTATCTATTTGTTAGACTTCTTAAGAACAGAAAGAGGAACATTGAAGTCTTCTGTCACTATTTTACTTCTTAAAGTTTAAGTGATGTTTCCATTATGAATTATGATGCTAAGGCATTTGGAGCATATACATTTATTACTGATATTAGTTTGTTTTCCATGGTTATTTTCAGCATAATATAGCTTACTCATTTGTCCCTTTTTATTTTTTGAATGTTTGTTTTTACTTTGAAAGCAGGATGGCAATTCCTGTTTTTTTAATTCATTTGATGCTTACTAATATTTTCTCCCATCCCTTCAGTTTTATTTTATGTATGGTTTTTTTTAATGCATTTATTGTAAGCAACAGATTGTAGGGTTTTCTTCTCTTATCCAATCTTTCATTCTTTTTTTGTTTTATTGGATTAATCTATTAACATATAAAGTTATGAGTTAGGATTATGCTTTCTTCCATCTGTGTCTAAATTAGTTTTTTTTTTCAAATCACATTTTCCACTCTTTTGCTTGTCAGCACAGCATCATGTTCCTTCAATTATTTTACTTCAGTTTTTTTTTAGGTGGCTCTCTTCCCCTTCTTCTGATCCCATTTTTCTTGCTTGTTATCCTCTTCCCTTTAGGGTTTTGTTTATTTTTTCTCTTTCCTACTTTTATCAGGTTCCATATTACTTCCCCCACTTTTTTCCTCTCAGTTAGTGAAGTTGATTATATCTTCCTCTCCTCCCCTTCTGCTAGTCCTCTTCCTATTTTATTTCATTTTTTGCACCCTTTTCCAGAAAGAATTTCTTTTACTCTCTTTATTATTCATCTTTTCTTTCTGTTTACTCTACACCCTCATTCTTTGATTCATCTCCTCTATGATCTGGTATTGAAGCTTCCAAGATATCCATTGTAGGATCTACTTTCTAGGTGATTTCTGCCACTGCCTTGTAGGACTTCCCCCACGATTTTTCCTTTTCCATTATGCCTCACTATTAGAACAATGACAATTATTTCAGGTGTCAGAGAGTAGTACACTGTTCTCTGGTAGGGCTCTTCTCCTCAAGCTCAGTGGCCTTTTTATTTTTCTACATTTACCTAGAAATCTCCTTCTTGTGTCCATGTTCTTCCATTCCTCCAGGTACCAGTTACCCCAGGGGTTCCAACTTCTCTATACCCAGGACAATTAGATTTTTCAGACCTGAGCTTTAGGAAAATGACTTTGGCAATTGAGTGGAGGATAGACTGGAAAGTGGGGGGAGCATTGAGATAAGCATATAAACCAGCAGGCTATAAGGTAATGAGTATAGTGTTGAGCATATCGTAGTCATTGAATATTGTTGATTGAGTGCTCATTGCATATTATTATGCTTATTATTTAAAAAAATTTGAAAATCATACTTAACTTTAACTCTCTGCAATCTGGCTTCCAACTTCATCCATAAAGTTAAATTGCTATCTCCAGGTGGTCACTGTGTGGATGAAGAGGGGATTCTGAAAGATATTCTTTCACATTCATGTAGTCCCTACTTCTGCAGAGGCTGAGGCTGGTGGATTGCTTGATGTTGAGAATCCTGAGCTGTGGTAGGCTAAGCTGAATGTGCTAAATTTGTCATCAGTATAATGATCCCCCAGGAGCAGGGACCACTAGGTTGCCTAAGGAGCAGAAGGTCCAAAATGGAGTGGTTCAAAGTTCGTAGGCCAGTAAGTACTAGCCAGGGAATAGCTATTGCATTTTGATGTAGGGAGAGTTGGTCTTCAAAAAAAAAAAAACCCAGCAAAATAAAGCAAACATAGTGAAAATAGAAATGGCAGTGCTTGGCAATAGATTAAATATATGGAGTAAGTGCCAGTAAAAAGTTGATGATGCTACCGAGATTTAATCACTGGGTTGATAGTGGAGCTCTTAACAGCAATAAAAAAGTTGGGAAGAGAAGAAAACTTTGGGGAAGGAAGATAATGTATTCTACTTTGGACATTTATTGAGTTTGAGATATCTTTGGAAATCCAGTTTGAGATGCCTAATAAACAATTGGTGATTTGAGCCAGGTTAGGTCTGGATAGATCTGAGAATCATTTTCATAGAGAAGATAATTGAAACCATTGGAAATGATGAGATTATCAAACAGGAAAATACATGAAGATAAATAAGAGAAGGCCTAGCACAGAGATTTGGGGTAGGGGTGTATCTGGAGTTAGTTAAAACTGGCTTCCAGAGCCTATTGTTAAATTTTCAGCATGAACATTTATACATCGGGAATCAGCAAACATTAAAAAATCATGACTTGATTTATTATTTTGTTGATTGTTTTTATTTAATATAGATTAAACATAAAAACATGTCATGGTATTTTTTTTTGTTTGAGAGCTGGGTGTTAAACATGTTAAACCAGCACATCCCTGGTTTGGGAACACCGGGAGAAAGTAATATAAAATTCCAAAGAAAAGAGAATATCCAGGACAAGTTGATCATTGATGTCAAAGGTTACATAAAGATCAGAAAGGATGAGGACTGAGAAAAGGCCATAGATTTGGCAATTAAGAAATCATGGGCAACTTTGGAGGAAGCAATTTCAGTTTATTGATGAGGTTGGAGCCAGATTGCAGAGGGTTAGAGTTAATTACTATTTTCAATTTTTTTTTTAAAATAGCAGGCATAATGGTACGCAATGAACACTTAATTAACAAGCATTCATTGACTATTATGTGTGCAGCACTATGCTTATCCTTATAGGTTATACATAATAATAGACTACATGACTGGCTAGTACCTTATGATTTGCTTGTTATGGCTTGATATCTTCAATATGTGATTAGGACTGACTAATGATTAGTTTAGAGTTTTTTCCAGTCTATTGTTTTACAAGTATCAACACTTAATCAACAAATATGCATTTATTAAGTAGCTACCATGTGCAAAGCACCATGCTCAATAATGGAGATAGAAGTTTTTTTTAAAAAAACAATCTCTGCTCTCAAGAAGTTTATATTTTGTCATGAGAGGCAGATGTTAAAAGGAAGAGAATTCCAGACAAGATTGTGCTAGAAGCATGCCCTATTGGTTTATGTTAGCATCTATACTCCAGAAATTGTCAAATGCTATAAATCAGGCCTCGATTTATTGTTTTGCTGATTGTCTAGACTTTTAAAAAGTAATGAAGAAAATGTTGATAAAGTGAGTTAAGCTTAAAAGTATGTCTTATATACATTTTTTCTTCAGAAAGTCAGTTGTTAAATATTTACCAGCATATCACTAATTCTAGGCTGTAACAATTTATATAATGTAGGCCATAAGTGGCAGATAAACAGTATAGGTTAAAATAGCTTTAAAACATAACTTTATATTTTAACATGTGTCTTAATGTATAGTTATCCTTTGATCAAATATATTTAACAATATTAAAAGAATATTCTCCATTTTAGATTCCAGGTGTATACAACTCACCATTTAGAGACCCAGATCCAATGGAGTTTGAGTTACAGAAAGTGAGGGCATTTCAGATGACATCTCCAGTCCCTCGAATTCAGCAGACAGATTATGAAGACCTTTCCTCCTGGCTCGCTTGCACAAGTAAGCGTGCTTTTCCACGATCAGACATTTTGCCACCCATTAACAGGAAGCAATGCCAGGTACTTTATAGTTCTTTTGTAACAATTATGTTAACTTGCATTTTCACCAGTATTCATTGTCTTTGCAACATGCTAGGAAGATTGGCTAATTTTAAATAAACTAATCTTAATTTTAAACCAAATAAGTTGAATCATGTTATGATTAACTTTTACAAGGGACTTTCCAAGTTATTTTGCTGTAGTAGTTGTTTGTTTTATCAAAAATTGCATAAGTGTGCTATCAGTCATTTGTTAGATTTGTTAGAATGGTATTTTTTTCCTACTGTGATTTATTTTTAAAAAGTTTATGTTTTCTGTCAAATTACACTTAATTTCACTCCTCATTTTGAAAGCCATTCTTCATGTACATATTGTTTAGTTTGGATCTGAGTAAAGGAAAAAGTGAAAATTTGATAACATGAGAATTGGCCCAAGACAAGGCATAATCCACAACCAAAATATAGAAGGTCATCAGGTTATTTCATTTATTGTTTGTAATTATGGTTTCCAGCTCTTTATTATTGAGCTTTTGATTCCTTGTTTATTCTTTCAACTCTGTACTTCTTTCAATTGTAAGAAAGGAGATTTGCAATTAAAAGTTAGTTTTATCACTAGAACTCCTTCCAACACTGACTTAACTAAAAGAATAACTATTTTAAAAATGCAAAATACTTAATTACTTATCCTTTACCAAGTAAATTATGAGATTGGAGAGAGTTATGGTTCTAGATCAATAGGATAGTGTAAAAGGTCAGAATGGAGAAGAGGTAAGACTTAAAAAGGGAACTAAAAAAGAGAACCTGGAGAGATTTCAAATTTCTTCTTAGCCAGATCTTCATAATATACCTTCATTATTATCTTAAGTAAATTGTCAGGATATCAGAAATACCTTTATCTTACTGTCAATATGAAAATTAATACTAAAGGCACAAATGAATTGTTTTTGTATTCTTTGCTATTAGGAATTATCCATACCACTATTCCTTTCCATTGGTATAGATGATGGAAAGTTGACTACATGTTTATTTATTTCATTACCAGATTATCACAATTGAATTCATATTTCAAGGAAAAAAATAACTGGGTTAATCCAATTGCAACGTGTGTATCAAGCACAATATTTTAAAATGAGTATTTAACACCCTACATGCTATGCCAAACTCATTGGTATGGCAGTTAATATTACACACCCTTCCTAGGACTAATTTGACCACGTACATAATGTCTTCAATAGTGTGATAGGGTTAAATTCACATACTTACTCAGGTTTGGGGGTTTTTTTGCATTAACCATTGTTAACTCTAACCATTGTTAGAGTCATAGATAAACCTTCATGCAAATATCAGCAATATTTAGCAATATCTAGGCTATAGTCTAAGTACAATATAACCATCTTATTTGTCCTATGTCCTATCTGAGCATGGTACAACTTGGACATTGTGTTACAATACATTACGAAAGCACACTTAGAAAATCTTATTGATATTTTTGTTAACTTCATTATATTAAAAATTGACTTAAGTTTTTAAAAAGTGATATTCTAAAGAATAATTGAGGTTTTCTGATGTGATTCAAAAATAATGTGACATTTGATTTTAAACAACATAATGGAATATATACACCTTAATATCAAACCCAAGAATTGAGCATGGCAGGGCAGAGCAAAGAAAGCCAGGTTCAATAGTTGAGGTAGGCCTATATGGTTAGACTGAATCAGGATGAATCAACAAGTCAATTATTTCAGGGAGAAATAAGTGGAGGGGATATGACTGTGGTAAACATATTCAAAACCTGAAGATTCATCAAAGGGAAAAGGAAAAGTGAAACAAAAATAAAATAAAGTGAAGACAAAGCAAAGTCCAAGACTGAGTATCAGGGCAGGATTGATGATAGGTTAAGGTCCAGTCTGGCAATAGATGTCAGGGATTGAAACCCAGAAAGTTGAGATAGCCGATGTTAAGACCAGATATCTAGGGTACTAGAATCTACCTCAGATACTAGAGTATTAATGGAGAAAGTGAATAAGGTTCAAGGGAAGAACTTTAGCCCCTGGGGAATGGGGTCAGCAAAGTGGCAATAGGAAGAACCACAAGAATGATTTGTGGATGAATCAATCCTCTTGCTGCATGGCAGTTTTTTTTTTTAATATCTTATTCATGGGATTAGATCTGATCTCATGGCATGAATTAGTGGGCATACCTGGCAAGATAAGAGAGATGCAAGAGGTAGAGATCCAAGAAGACCATTAGACTGAATCTCTTTCAAAATAACATTGGGAAGTTATATACATATTATGCCTTTGATAAAGATATATTTAGAATTCCTATTTTGAAACTGTCTTTAGAATTTCTGGCATATTTATTCTAGTATTTTCCAAGTGACAAATCTTGACCCTTGACCCTTTTGAAGACAGTGATGTTTTCTTAGAAATAAAAGCCATTTAGAGTAACACTGGTAAGTGGATGGTCAAGATGATAGTTAACATCTAGATAATAAGTTGATAGATGATGGTTAATATAATTTTTATTTAGAAGTGACACACAAGGACTAATGAAACTTATTTTCTTATATTACTCTGAAGTTAGTCCCAAAAGAGGAAGTGCAAAATGTGTATGTTTAGTAATATATTATAATGGTTAGAATAAATATGTCTATCATTGAAGAATCCTACCTATTTAGATATATTAATCTGGTATTTGTCCTTTCACTGATTCATCTGACAAATATGTATTGAATAGATGTTAAATACAAAACATGATTATAAAATATTATGTTATAGTCATATTTCATAGAAAACTTTTTTTGGTCTAAACCTATGATTTCATAGGCATGGGGGAACTCCTTGTGTGGAAACCCATATATCAATGCAGATTGATAAATCAGAGGAACTGAGAAATTAAGTGACTTGCCTTTGGTCAACCAAAGTATGTCACAGATGGGACTTGGACCTGGGTCTTTGTGACTTAGAGACCAGTTCTATATACACTAGCTCATACTACTTCCCCAAAACAAAAACAAAGCAATGGAGTTCATTTGAAAAACAAAAACAATAACACCTTATTGCATTTAAAATATTGAGACTATAATGTAAGATCCTTGAAGGCAGTAATTTTATATCCCCGGTATCCAGCACAGTCCCAGGCACATAGAAAATATTTAATACATGTTGGATGAATCCAATTCACGTCTTTTTAAGTCCATAAGTTATTTTTATTAGTCATTTTATTGCTTTTGGAAAGACCAACTTGAATAGAATTTCTGCACTTGGGTTAGTTATCTTTCTCACATATGGATTTGCCAGACAGATGGCATTTGTACTGTAATGTACATTCTAAAGATGTTATTGGGGGAAATTAGAAGTGAAAACTCATAAGAATTCAGAGTCTGGGCTGTTCACCAGAAGGTGGTAGTAATGCAAATACTTTCTCTCTCCATAATTCACTTCTTTATAATAACAATGCTTACATAATATACTTTGGCTTTTCTCTATATCATACACTATAATAATTATTCTTGTTACTAAAACACCATTTTAAATAACTAAAATGTTCTTAGTTCTTACAGGTAGTGTTTCAAAGGAGATAAAATTTATAGCTCTTTAAAAGTAGAAAAATTAGCTATCCATAAGTTTTCTCATAAGAACATTGGTATTTTGCATTTTATAGCTAAGAACTATATATGTAAGATAATGTATATAAAAGAAAAAGTTTTAATGCATCTGATATATCTGATTTATCATTTTTATTGCTGTGTTAAGTAGAGTCACAGTCTAACAAAAGTACAGATAATAGTGAAATTGGTCATCTTTTCATTAAAGAACATTAATAAGAGTATGCATACTGCTTCCACCTAAACCTTTAAGATATTAGAATAGCTATAATTTAATAGAAGAAATAGAACAATTATTTGCAGCAAAGACTATAGATAACAGGTGACCCAAAACTTGACTTTGGTTCTCTATTAAAATAAGAATGCTAAAAAGGAAGAAAGGTGTATTTGGGTGCTCCAGATTTAATCACATACCAACCCATCCCTTTGAAAAAAAAAAGGGACTATGAAAACTACTTTTTGACATTGGTTGATGCCAAGGAAGTGGCACATTTCTGTGGAAGAAAAATATACTGCAAAATGTATGATGAGTGAGACGTTTAAAAAATCTGTGTTAATATTTTAATTGTCCTCAAGACATCCATGATCTTTTGATAACACATTATATACCACTTTATAGTCACTTTTTTCCTTTCACTATGTTGTCAGTCTCTTAGATTGAGGTGATTTAAATAATTACCTTAAAGAAAATTATATTTTATGTCTCATTCCAAGCAATATGGCAACTGTTGAATTAAATAACATTGATTTTCTTAACAAATAGCTTGTGAATATTGTTATACCTACTGCTTGGGAATACTTTTCTCTATTTTCCTTCTATTTTCAAAGCTTGGTCAATGGTGTCCAAAAAATATATTCAACATTCCCATATATTTTCTAGAATTAAGAAAAGTAAGACCTTGTAAAAACACAAACATATGGATATTTGACTCCTCCATGCTTCTAAAAGGAGACATGGAATCATGTCCCTGTATCTTTAAAAAGTAAAGTTCCAATACAAATCCATTAACTACTTTTAAATATAGCAATCCTCCTGTCCAGCTGTGAAAAGTACTAGATGATACTTATTTGCCATTTGTGTTATTTACGGTCCATGACTTTTATGGTAACTGGTTCCTATTATTGGTTTCTATTAATGTAAAACATAAGTGAACATAAATGAGGCGTGAATCATTTCTTTTTATTAGCCCCACAGTCTTCACTCAGTGCTTGCAGTAACTCCAGCTGTGACTTGTTAGTGATAACCTATTTAAAAAGGAGATCTTTAAGAATAAGGAACATGATTAGAATTATTTGTCCATTCATATTTTCAGAATGTTTTACTACTTCTCTCACAGAACAACAATAATGCTGGGGCAGGAGGGGAGGAGGAAGAAAGAGGAGAGAAAACAATATATAATTAGTGACACTGCAAAACCTTGAGTTGCCACTGATTTGTATTGAGCTTAATGTAGTACTAATTACACTACAAGTGGGTTTGTACCAATTACTACTTTTATTATATTATTATAATTATTATTATTACTACTACTATTTAAAATAAGATATGGTATAAATCATCTTTAAATGCAGTACAGGCTTTTCCTCTGTGTGTGTCTGTGTGAGTGTATAGATGTGTGTGTGTGTAATGATATGGTTAATATTAGTATTTAATTTATTAAACAATATAGCTATAGATTTTTCCATTAAGAATTTGTAAAATTATTGAGAAATTATGATCCTGATAGATTTTTGCATATTATCAATTAAAGGTAAGATTTGAGTTTCCTTCTAAAGCTTTCAGCTAATGGAAAATCCACATGTTTTTGCTTTATTGCCATTTATGGGAGGGATTTTTGAAGGTTACGCTCAGAATTTTTTTAATGGCTTTACTGATTAAAAATAAGAGAAATATTTATGCAATTAAAACAAATAGCATCCCTTTAAATTAGAAAATAAAGTCATGTGAAGCCAAAAGTTGAACCACTTAACAATTAAAAGACCTTTTGTTACTGTGGGATTAAATGAAATCAACAATTCCATCTTATATCAGACTTTTTTTTTTTCTTGGAAATGGCCACTTCCATACTGAAGCCATAAGAACATTCCTAATTGCTGTAAGAAAGTACATAAGCCTTCATGTTTTTCATTATTTCTATAAAAAGCCAATTGTTTTATTAATTATTTAGTGAAGAAAAACTTGTTGTACTTCCCAGACATTCTCCATCCTTGGTCATCAATAATATGTTAAAAGAAACTCACCCCAATAAAACACTGACCTTATCCTGTACCTGTCAGGGGCCCTTCCGAGATATCGCTGAAGTATTGCAGCAGCGCTACAAGCCTTTGCAGCCAACCTTGCGGGTGGCCACATCAATCAATGCAGTAAAAGAGGCCCAGGAGGAACTCAAAAGGGAGGAATGGAAAAACCGTGTCAATGACAATGTGTAAGTTTTCAATATTTCGTAGCACAATTTGGTGCCTTGTGCTTTCCAATACTTTGTGTTTTCTAATGAGTCTAGGAACCTCTTCTTGTGGAGAAAGAAATCTACTGTCATCTGATATTTCTAGCAGAAGACATTCTTCAGGATGCAAATGTCATTGATGAGATGAGTGAGGATATCAAAGCTAAATTACTAACTCGCAACTAAGAAAGCAAGTGCAGAGAGCATTGCCTTTTAAATGGCAAAAAGAAATATCTGTCTATGTTTTTAAAGTGATGATTCATCTAATCACTGAGTGAAGGCAGAGTTGCAATACTTTAAAAAAAAATCTCAGTAACATTCCTTATAGTAGCTAACTTTCAGCTTGGTCAACTTGATATTACATGATAGTTTTTATGAGTTACCAGCAATAGGAGAGGTTGGTTCTTTCATAATTGAGGAAGACAACGGAGGAACTAGTGGCATGTAAAAATTTTGAATTATTTTCATTAGCTTCATTGAAGTAGTTTCAATTCATGTGCTTAGAGCTTTAAGGGGCCTCTCTTAAGGATGCTGGAGATAGTTGCAGTTCATAAAAATTATAAAATTTGTGGTGAGTTTATTATTACTGTTACTATTATCATCTCTAGATGACAATGAATTACAAAATGTGTTTTGTCTCCTTAGGAAAAAGGGAAAAAATCACTGTTTCCTCCACTTTCTTCTACCTGTAATAGTTTTTCTATATGGTATAATTGCATTTGAGAGCACCTTATCAGTTAGCAAGTCTTTATAACATCTTTTATTCTGTTAGTGTCTGGTATGTAGAAAATCAGATTTTACTAAATATATTTTTTGAAGATGCCCTTGATCAATACAATTTTTCATAAAATAATATTTTAAATATATTTGGTGAATATCTAAAGTAATTTTCAATAAAGCTTTTCATTTTATCACATTTACTTGAAGTGTATCAATTAGCAACAGTATTCAGCAAATGAGTTTAGAGATAACTGAGTTCACTTAATGAGTGAAGGAGAAATTTTTAAAAATCCTCTCAGATGAAAGTTTTACACAGGTAGGTTTGATGTATTAAAAAAAGATTATACCAGATTAATTCTATTAAGGTTGAGTGAATGAAGAAAAATGTGTGATTCAGTGATGAATATCTGAGGTGATAGGTTACTAATATCTTTCTTATTTTGTGATATTTGAAAGACTTATAAAACATCAAAATAAACAAAATGATATTGCTAAGAAATGACTATTATCTTTTACAACAGCAATATTGATGTTTCTTCAGAAACAATTATAACACACAAATTTATCTAAATTTCTTTGGGTATTTTCATGGATAAGCAGAAGGTCAGCTATCACTGCTATCCCCAAAGCAGGGTGAGCCGCTTTTTACTTTCTAGGGAATACTTGTTAAATGCTTTCACTTTCCAAAGTGTAGTTAATAAACTCATGGCCTGAAGCTTTCAAAAGATGAGTATTGCTCATAGGGTTTCCAGCCAATCACTGATGTTTTATATCAGAACTATTCCAGAACTCTTTTGCTACTTAGCTTTTGAAGCATAGCAACACATACTTTTATCTCCTGGGACAAAATAAAATAGGACATTAAGTATTTTCTATTCACATTTCCACCTTCCTAGTTCAAGGCCTTTTCACATATTACTTTGGCTTTTAGAATCTCTCACAAGATGGCTCTTTCCTATCTTTCCAATTTTCTTATACTTTACTCCCCTCTAGGAACTCTACAGCCCTGCAAGGCTGGCTTTTTTTGCTCTTCCTGTCACGCATTCCTTCATCTCTCAATTTTGTGCCTTTTCACTGTCTGTCCTCTATGCCTGACACATTGTCCTTTTTCACCTTCACCTACTGGCTTCCTTTATGACTCAACTCAAATCATACCTGTAGCAAGAGACCTTTCCTGGACACTGAACACCAAAAAGGTCAAGGGACTTGCTCAGGGTCACATTAATCAATGTAGCAACAAATATTTATTAAGCACACATTGCACACAAAAGATGCTATCTCTGATGATGTAGGAAATACAGAGAAGTATATGACATGGCCATAGACTGTCTTTGAAGAGATTTCAGTCTGGTCAGAGAGACATATTGTAAATATATGAAATATTAAAGAACAGTTGAAGAAATAATATATGATGGTTGTTGTCCTTCATTCTCAAAGAGGACCAAAATGATATCACTATGTTGGGGTCAAGGTATCTGGCCATGGCTGATCAGACTAATATGACCTCAGAAGGCTATGTATCTTATAGAATTGTAAGTAATTACTGAAGGTGTGCGGTTGAGAATAAGTGTTATTTGTTTAGAGGAGGGGAAGACAACTGTGGACTCCAGTGTTTTATGAAGAATTTCTAAAGAAGGGAGTTGATTTCAGCCTTTAAAGCCTGAATGACAAAACATGTTCAGGTAGAATAATTAGATTTGAGTGGTTTTAGCAGAGGTTTTGTAATGAAATAAGGGGAGAAAATTTTGAATAAAGAGAAATAAGAAGAAGAAATAAATCTGAATAAATTGGTTAGGACCAGATTATGAATATTCCTTTCATTATATCACTGGCCTATTCAAATCTTTAAATGCCTTTGATTTACATGATAAAATTGAAATTCCTTGGCCTTGTATTCACAGTCACAATCTGGCCCCAACTAATTTATTCATGCTTATTTATTTTTTGTTGTTTGCTATTCAGTGTACAAATTGGATTGTAGAGGAGAAAGTCTAGCATTAGGGAGATCATCTCATTCTAAAACTGTTAGAAGGAAGAGGTCAGGCATGATTCACAGAATCTCAGAATTGGAAAGATTTTCCAAGTCCATCCAACCCAACACAACCTTGAACAAAAATCCTGCCTACAATTTCTCCCCGCCTCTCTCCCCCATCAAAGTGGTCATCCAACTTTCCCTTATAAACATGGAGTGAGGAAACTATTACCTCCTATGGAAGCCCGTTTCACTTTTGGATAGCTTTAGTTGTTCTGAAGTTTTTCCTTACATCTCCCTAAAATCTCCTTCCCTCCAGTTTCTACCTACTGCTTTTAGTTCTGCCATCTTGTGACAAGCAGACTAAGTATAATTCCTCTTCCACTGGACAACCTTTCAGATATTTGAAGAAAGCTATTATGATCTCTGTAAGTATCCTTTTCTCAAAGTTAAACATCCCCATTTCCTTCAGCTGATCCTCCTATGGCATGGTCTTGAGATAGCATACCATCACAGTCACCCTTCTATGAATGATCAATGTCTTTCCTAACATTTGATGCTCAGAATTTAACCTGAAGACCACAAGGTAGTCTGGCTGGGCCAGAGAACAACAAGACCATTGCTTTCAGTGTTCTTGATTTGATTCCACTACAACTCATTGCATGGTATTTTTAGGCTGCAGTATTGATTGATATTAAATTTGGAGTCTACTAAAATCCCAAGATTTTTAAAACAAATTGTTTTCATATTTCCTCCATTTTGTACTAGTAATATTTATTTAAAAAAACAAGTCTAAGAAGTTATGTTTATCTCTATTAAATTTCATCTTAGAATCTATATATTGTTTCATCCTGTCAAGATTATTTATTGATCATGACTTTGTTATTAATATGTGTTCACTACCTTACAGTTTTATGTCATACAATATTTGATCAAAATACCACCTGTATCTTCATCTAAATCATTATTTTTCATTTTTATATATTTTATTGATATTTTCAGTTTCTAACATCGCCATAGTGTCCCATATATCTTTCCTCCATACCCTCCCAGAAAATGATCCCATATTACAAGTAATATTTTTTAGAGAGAAAAAAAGTCAGCACAACTGATTGATACATTGAAAAAGTCTGAAAAGAAGGCAGGTAGGTGGCACAGTGGATACAGCACCAGCACTGGAGTCAGGAGGACCTGAGTTCAAATCCAGCCTCAGACACATAACATTCACTAGCTGTGTGGCTCTGGGCACTTAACCCCAACTGCCTCACCAAAAAAAAAAAAAGCCTGAAAACATATGTGATGTATAATAACCATGGATCTCCCACCTCATGAAAGGGTAGATTGGTGGTGTCTTCTTAATCTCTTCCAAATAATTAATTGTCTTTAAGAATACAGCAATAATAATAACTAATAATTGAGAGGTATTGCCTCATTTGAGACAAGGGAAATTAAAGTCTATGTATGTATCCTGAGTTTAAGGATCATTTCTCAAAGTGATTTTATACATTATTTTTGATATTTTCTTCTTAAAAATAATTATGTCCTTCTTTATCCATGTTATTTATTGTCTCCACTTGTGACAATATTACACATTACCTCATGCCTGGATTATTACTCTAGCCTAATGGTTGGTGTCTCCCTGCCTCAAGTCTTCTATCTTCTATAGTCAGTCTTCCTAAAGTGCAAATTTGACCATGTCTCACACACACACACACACACACACACACACACACACACACACACACACAGATACACATACAACTATACACACACCTTATCTCCAATGTCTCCTTATCACCTCTAGAATCAAATACAATCAAATCTAAAAAACTTTTTTGCTGTTCAAAGCCCTTCATAATTTGTCCTTCCCTAACTTTCCAGTCTACACCTTATTTCCCCCTCCACCCCAAATCTTGAGCTCTAGTGACACTGGCCTCTTTTCTGTTCCCTGTGCACAGCATTCCATCATTGAACATGTTCAGTGGCTATCCTTTGTGACAAGTATTCTCTTCCTCCTTATCTCCACCTCCTAGCTTCTCTTGCTTCCTTCAAGCCCCACCTAGAAAAATTATACCTTCTACAAGAAGCATTTTGTGGTCTTTCTTAAGAATGCTGTTGTCTTCCCTCTGTTGATTATCTCTAAATTTTCCTGAATATATTTTCTGTTTGTATGTAATTGTTTGAATTGAATGATGTCTCCCTTATTAAATTGTGAGCTCCTTGAGAGAAGGAGCGCTCCTTTGTCTTTCTTTGCATTCCCAGTGCTTAGCAAAGTTCTTGGGAGATAGTA